TCCTCCTTCCACAGGCTCAAGACAAAAGCCTCGAGGTTGTCCCTGATTCCGCTGTTTCCCTCTCATTCTCCATTTAGTCTAATGTCAACATCTGTCAGTTCTCTAGAAGCCATGCTCTCCACGGCTCCCCATGCCTGCTCCTGTCCACCCTTGTCTCCCACCTAGACCATCTCTGCAGCCTCTTACTGACATCCCCGCTTCTACCCTGTCCTCCTTCCCAAGATAGGGCACGTGAAATTCCAGAACTCTGGTGACACGAAGATTTAATCAACTTCAGGGCTTGGGAAAAGGCGACAGTTCATCCACCTTCCTCCCCCTCATCTTAGGAGGAGAAACAGAATGGGGTTCAGGCTTCTCAAGAGCAGTACTGCAAACAAGGGTCAACACCTTCTGAATTTGGAAGGAAAACTATTAACACTTTCTGTCCCTGAATACTTTTTGTTTTATTTATTTGAAGATTTATTTATTTATGCGTACAGAGCTGGGGTACAGGCCAGAGGTGTGGGGTCAGTGAGAGGATTCACCAGAGACAGAGTGGGGTGCAGAACAGGTCGACTGATGAAGTACACTCCTGAGGGGGGCAGTGGGGAGACAGGAGAGGTCTGCTGCGCCATGTGGGTCACCTCAGGGATGGGGATCGAACTCACACCGAAGCAGCTGCGGCCAGCTTGCAGTGCTTCACTGTAACCTACTGCACCCCAGGGAGGGCTATCTGTGCCCAAATTCTGTAGCTAGCTAGCCAGACTGTCAACGAAGCTGACATTTTTAGATCTGCAAGCTCTCAAAATTTTACCTTCTGAGAAACCTTCCCCAAGAAGCCACAGGCCCTGCTCCAGTAAACAAACACATTGCTAAGAGGAAGAGTTGAGATCCAGGATACAAGGGCCCTGACACAAGATAGCCCGAGGGAGATCACCAGGGAGGAGGAAGTCGCCATCCAGATAGGCAGCCAGTCCAAATAGGGCCTCTGACTCGAGGGACGCTCGTGTTGAGGTGTGTCGTCCACTAGCTTGTCAGATGCCATTGGGATGTTTTGTTTTGATTTTTGACTGGAGGATGGCTGGGTGATTGTGGGTGGGTGAACCTAAACCACATTTTTTTTTTTTTGTGGGAGTGTATTTCTAGGTTTGTTTGTTTTTTTGCCTTTTTTTTTTATTAAAAAGTTTATTGGCTTAAGCTTCTTAGTGCAGTGCTTTAACCCGCTGCTCCACCACAGAGGGCCTCATTACTGTTTTACAAAGGACATCCCTCTTACCCTTTTTGTGCATTATAGTAAGGACATTACCTTGATTTTGGAAAAAAAAAAAAAAATCGTGTATGTGGGTAGGTTCTATTCTCCATAAACTTCATTTCAGGATAGTAAAGGGAGCATATAAAAATATTTATTATAACACTAATCTATGGTGAAAAACAATCAGAACAGCAGTTCCCCCAGGGGGTGGGTGGTGGGTGGTGAGAATTGACTGGAAAGGGCAGAAAGGAACTTTCTGGAGCGACAGGAATGTTCTCTGCCTTGACTGGGGTGGTATGCAATTGTCAAAACTCATCGAAGCTCACATTTGACGTGGGTGCATTTCATTCTAATTGCAACATAAATCACACCTCACTCGGGCTGAGTAAAGCAGACATTTAAAAATGCCTGTATAGGAAATGTTTAAATATGTCTTTGACATAGAAGGGAGGCATTGGACCTAGGAAGACCTTGAAATCAATGAAGCGGACTTCCGGGGCAGAGATTTAAAAACCAAAGAGAAACACTCTTAGCCACACTGCCCATGTTCATTGCTTTGTGACTCTTGTATACGTTACATAAGATTTTCAATTATATAATAGTTACACTGCTATGCTGGGCTGAGATGGGCATGCATTTCTTATTCTGAATGGTAGTTTAAAAAAAAGTTCCAAGCACACTCTAAAATAGGAACGGCCAGACTTTGAAGCTCCTTGCCCATCTCTCAAGGTCATACCCACTCAGGGCAAAGCTCTCACTGATGCGGGGAGGCACATTTGTCCTCGTCTAGTTTTCTGGATCATTTTTGATTCTTTTCTAGTAATGCTATCAGATGTGACTAGATGACCCTGGGGAAAGTTGCTGGTCAGGAGCCTGTGTTTTCAGGAGTGACAGATGAACTAACAGTGGCGTTCGTTTTCATAGTAGAAACAACGTGCAAGGCAGAGAAGGGTGTTGGGGTAGAAAGCTCAGATCTTCAGCGTTCATAACCAGGAGTTCATAGATTTTATCAATTCAGCAGGAACACTGACAAAATGGAAAAATACAAATTGTCTCACACACAAAGGGGCGAATTTTCCTAACACCCCCTTAGGGAGAAAATGCATGAAGAATAAGAGCAGATAGTTCCCAGAAAGGAAGTAAAAATAGCTCTTAAATATATAAGAAGGTAGCAGGCCTTACTTGAAGCAAAATAAATGCAGATGAAAAAAAAAACACCAGGGCTCCATTTTTGAATTAAGTAAATTAGTAAAACACAAAAAGATGAACCACACCTTGTTTTGGCAAAGAACCCTCTGGGGGTGGGGGGGAGGCTCCCTGGCGGCACAAGGGTTAAAATCGCAGCACTGTGAAACTGTCCACAGCCACTGGCCACCAGTTCTATCCCCGGCCAGGGAGCTGACCCACAGGGCGCAACTCTCCTGTCTCCCCGCTGCTCCCCTTCGTCAATCCACGTATTCTGCTCCCCCTCTGTCTCTGGTGAATCCTCTCACCCACACACCTCTAGCCTACACCCCAATTCTTGTATGCATCAATAAATAAAAATGAATCTTAAATAAAAAAGACAAGATACTTTCCACATAGCATCACATATAGCAGCTATGCAGAACGAATCAGTAACTCACCAAGGTCACAGCCTCCCTGTTGGGAAATGCAAAGTTTAATTCTTGCTTTTCATGTCCTTGCCGCACAGCAGTGTCTGATGTGACTCGGGACTCCTCCCTCCCCACCTGTCCCCCCTATCTGTCAGGACGCCTTGTCTCCTGGCGGCCCCGCTTCCGACTCTCAAAACGATCGCCGGTGCTCCCCTCTTCCAGCTGGTGCTCACATTCCACCTCATGGCCTTAAGTACCATCGATAAGATCTCGATGCCCAAATGCCTCTCCCCAGTCTGGTGTCTTCCCTGAACTCCACACTCTTTATCCAACTGTCTGTTTGGCATCGCCATTTAGATGACTAATGCATCTCAAAATTAATGTCTTGGAAATCAAGTTCCTGAATTCCTTGCCCAAATCTTTCTCCCTTCCTGATCTCAGTGAAAGGCAA